AAATACAAGAAGTTGAAGATGATAAAGGAAGTGAAGACTTGTTGGCATCCGATCACAATGATGATGATGATGATGCATTTTCAATTGAAATTGAAGATTGAGTTCAAAATGGATGTTAGAAATTTGGATTAGAAGTCTCTTTGGTGTTTAAAGTTTGAATTAGTGAACTATGGTTGTGAACTTTGCATTATAATAGTAGTGGATTATGTTGATAACTTGAATAGTTGGTGGAGTATTAATGAAATGCTATATTTTTTATGAGTGTATGACTTTTTTTCAAAGGTATATATATTTTTTTATTATTTATTTAAAATTGCATCGTATCTTACGATACACGATACAATACAATATTTGTATCTTACGATACGCCTTCCGATACACGATTTGATAACTATGACGTCAACCCTATTATTTTTAATTTTATCACATCAATTACTATAAACTGAGAACTAAATGACTAATAACTATTTGACATGCTTCAAACATGTTTTGACATGCTTGGATATTGGACACATTGTAGTCGTTATTAATCAAGGGCAGATTTGCAATGTGGGGGCTAAATTTAGAAGTTTTGGGGTTACATTGAAATTTTAAAATTAACATTTTGTTACGACTTGCCCCCATTGGAAAACTTCAAGGATGATTAGAGAATCTAGAGACTAAATGGGACTCTTCTGTAAATTACAAAATTGGATCATTCAATATCCCTTTGACGTCTTCATTTCGTTCCTTCTGTTTTGCTTCTTTTTGTTGTTCCTGTGGTTCTTCAATCTTTCCCCCAATCCCTCTCTCTTTAAAAAGTTTTATTGGAGCAGACCCTGTGACGCTTGCAAACAGACAACCCCTAAACTGATGCTTCAATTTTTTATTTCTGTAATTTTTTTTATCCTTTTATACAATCAATTAAAACTAGGGTTTCTCAATCAATACTTTTTTCTCTTACTTATGGGGATGATGAAGCATCTAGGTGAGACCAATTTTTAATGTCCATTCAAAGTAACACAACTTATATTCTATAATTTTCAGAGTGCTTAAAGTTATGTTTGCTTTAGACCTATTCTTTTTTACTAATTTTTTTTTTTTACTTTTGTTCTAGAGTCAAACGAGAATAAAACTATTGAGGAAAAAAATCATCAAAAAAAATATAATTTTAGTTTTTATTAATGTCAACCATCAATTTTTCTCCTTATTGTATAGATGAAAGAGCCTTTATTATCTGAAATTTGAGTTGAAGTATTTGGAATATTATCGCCGTGACATTGTGAATTGCGTCAATTATTTATACTAATTTGATTTATTTTAGTTATGTCATGGTGCTTATTATAAGTTGTTTGTCGAAGAGCCTAACTAAACAATATAATTTTTCAGTCAACTAAACTTAATTTTAGAGTCGCCAAAACAAAATTTATATAACAAAATAAAAATTGGAACAACCGTCTCCTACTTAAGGAAATGATTAGGAAGTGTTATATACGGTGGTGGCATACAACATTGTTCTCTAACTAAATCGTAATGAATTTAACTTAAAAAGTATTTTGGCGGATCCTAGGATAAGAATTGAAATTTTGGTTTGTCATTCTAATAATTGGGATGAAAGTTTAAAGTGCATAACTACAAGAAGACTCATTTCAACCTAGTGAACTAGTTGTGCCTTTGATTGACATTTTTCAATGAAATTATACATATAAAGAAGTATTAAAAGAAAATGAAAGCATTATGATTGTAATTCATTAATGAGTTTTAGATTGCCCCACAACAAAAACTTCATGGCACTGTTATTAATCGTTGAAAAATTTATTGGTTATTTTGTCGTTATCTGAAAAAATTATTGGTTATTTTGTCATTATCTGAAAAAATTATGGATCATTTTCTAATTATTTAAAAAATCAGAATCACAACCCACACAGTATGAGATTAAATGTACCATCATCAAAGGTTCAATCTTCCTTGACAACTAACTTCATACATAATTTTCCTCATCACTCGAAAGTGTGTGAAGCAAGCCCATTTAGAGAAAGTGATTGCTATGGTTTGGAAAGAAACCAACTAGTACAATAATTCTCCGCAGTAAAACATTAAAGTGTCCCACTACAATGGTAAAGTATTAAATAACTCATCCATTGGATTGAGGCAACTGGCAAAAGAAATGAGGCACTTACAGCTATATACTGGACNCCGCAGTAAAACATTAAAGTGTCCCACTACAATGGTAAAGTATTAAATAACTCATCCGTTGGATTGAGGCAACTGGCAAAAGAAATGAGGCACTTACAGCTATATACTGGACGACCTCTGAACTTGCAACTATAGATGCTGATATACGCCTTGCTGGTTCAACAGAGTACTCTGCTCGAGCATTTCGGATCGCTCTTGTCTGAGTCTCATGAAAAAGATACATCAATGATTATTCAACTTACATGGAGTGTGTGTCCACAATGAAAACATGGCAGTAGAGATGCAAAAGTTAAACGCGTTGAAGGCTGAACCAAGAAACAATTTATTAAACTCACCAAAGCCTGTAAATTTTCAAATCTTTTTATGGAGTTGGCATGCCTCGGAAGCGAACTGAGTGGCCAAGAAGATACTATAAGAGCTTCTTTTCGATTGGGTAGAGCCTGCACACAAACAAGTAAAACAATTAAAAAATGAAAATCGGAAAGAATATATTAGCCCAAAAAACTTCGAGATTTTAGGTTAAAAACACGGATCATCCATCAACAGGGATCTTTGGAAAGGAACCAACACTTGAAAAGTTACAAAATGCTACTGTGCTTCTCAGATAATACACTTCAGAAATTGGTTTCCATTTTTTTCTCAATATAATTTGACAAGATACGGACAGATAAGTTGGGTGAAGCTCAAAAAAGTGCCACAAACCAAGATGGGCATCTAGCAGATTCCTCTTAATTGAGACAGGAGATCCAATAGTTAAAAGGAGGAATCACTTTGTGGAAAATTGGGGAGAGAGAGAAAGAGGGGGGAGAGAGATTGCTAAGAGACATGAGTAGATGAGTTGCAATGATTTTTCACCATAAGCAACAACATAGTTGCATGCGACTGAAGCAGCCACTATTCAAACTAGATGAGTTTGCATCCTAGATCCACCAAATTATGACAGGTATGTNGACATGAGTAGATGAGTTGCAATGATTTTTCACCATAAGCAACAACATAGTTGCATGTGACTGAAGCAGCCACTATTCAAACTAGATGAGTTTGCATCCTAGATCCACCAAATTATGACAGGTATGTGTCGTATGATCCCAAACGGGATGAGTTCGTGATCTAAATTCTTCAAATTATAACAGTTTTATAATCCTAGCCCCAAAAAGTGTGTAACCATAATCAGTACTTTATATTTTAGTGATCCTTAAACTTATCTTTTGTTTTTTTGTGATTTGACTTTTATTCTCCACAACAATTAGGGGGCACACTATTTAGCATTAGGATTCGTTATGGAACTCTTATAGGGAAAAAAAAATAAATGTCCACCGACTGTGTTTATGAGTGTATAATCATATAAAATAGCGTATAATAATAGTAAAAGCACTCCGAATAAGAATTCCATAAACCAATCGCGACCCACAACAACGTATTAAGTCTACCCTCATGACACTGTGTATCGATGAAAGTATCATATAACGTAATTCTGTGGTTGTAGGATACATTGAGAAGAATATATAATTTATAAAATATGATAAATCGAGGATGCATAATACGCATATTAAGTTTCAAATGCCTCTTTAGAAACATTTAAACAGAAGATACACATAGAAAATCCACCAAAACTCTACCTACTTAAGCGAGAAGTTAAATTCAAGAAATTACCTGCCATAGTTCCTCAGTAACGAATGGCATGAAAGGATGTAATATTTTGAGTATGTTTTCAAAAACATATAAAAGAACTGCCTGTGCCACAGAAGCAACTGAATGACCTGCGGAATGGTAAAGGCGAGCTTTACTAGCTTCAATATACCTAACAAGGAAAATAAAAGCATTAACCATGCAAGAAGGGGAACAGCACTGAAAACCATTATTGCAAACTCTGGTGCTTTGGTAATACTTGAGTGCAACAACTATATGCCAAAAACATATAATATAAATTTACTGATTCTAGTTTCCTTGTCAACCCATTTCTGCTATATAACCCAAATCAAAACTTCTCTTGTTTTAGTGTAAGAAACATAAGACAATTTTTTCATGATTAGGACAGTCTGATTGCTTCATACACACTCTAAATGATCAACTTCTTTAGATGCCATTACATGTAGACTTGTTCAAGCTGGCTGGAAGGGAGCTATGAACATTCCTTTACCTTTTGGTGTGCATTAATATTGATAAGTTGAAAGGATCCAAATATCAAAAAATTCCTGCTAACTGGGTCTCCCATTGCCAAAAAAATCAACCCGGTTAACCAAAGAAAAATATGTTGCATTCATTTCAGTATCCAGAGATAAAGGTCAAGTGTCAAGAAGAAAAGGAAATTGTTAACAAGCAATGAACTGGGCCTGCATCCATGGTTCAAGTTCTGCTTCAAGTATGGGTTAGGATCAAAGGAAACCTACTTAGGACTTAAGAGACCCAAAAACTTGGTGAATCATTGGCCATAACTTATTTATGTCAAAGTAAAAAGTGTATTTCTTGAAACATCATTAATTGAAGTACAAAAGGTGCCAAAAATATACCAAAACATATGTATATATGTATGAAGGTACTTATGTATGTATGTAAAGAGTTAACCCTCAATTTCATCCCCATCAGTCAAGAGTACTAGGGCGAGTAGACTTTATACAGAACCAATATTTGACATTACTCGCACAAAGTGGCTGCTTTAAACATCGAAGCCGCAACTTAAAATTCATTTTCCACAAATTCAAAGAACATCCAATCATACATGACAAAAAAATGTTTATAATACTCAAAACATGAGGATAGAAAGCCTTGAACCTAAATTAACCTTAATAAAACCCCCTATTTTTCAATAAAATTACATAACCAAGGGAATTGCTGGAAAACCCCTTAAAAATAAGTTGATAAAAACATGAGAACTAACATACCAATCGGCAAAATCCCCCCAAAAGAAATCATATATTTCTCTTCCAACGTCATTAAAGAAAAACTTGTCGTAACTCGTGGTGGACATGTCCACAAGCATATGAAGTTTCGAGACCTAAATATAGCAAAAAAAATTATATATTAATTATTGGGGACTGATCGAGTGGCACTGTAAGAAATGTTTCGAATAGTTGTCTTACCACCCAACATTCTGGTAAAGGCAGCCTGAGCAGATACTCCTCTTGATCAAACTAAAAAAAACATTTAACTATTTTAGTAATTCACAACCACCTTAAATTTATATGGTGTAAATGCAATTAGTGGCATCACAACACAGAGAAAAAGGGTCATAATAGAGGGATTGCAAATTTATTATTTCCATTCTGGTTTGCAGTTCCTAAATTGTCTACTAGGAGGCCACCATAAATCAAAGAGATTGAGAAGTATTTTTGCTTAGTTTGAGATTTAGGATTTTTTGTTTTTCAACTTGGATAGACATTAATTTTTGGGTGGGCGAACCCAAGTGGGAGGAATAAACATTGATTTTCAGGTTTGTTGTCTTCCCAATACCACATGCTGCAGTGTCTGCTCTCTTTCTCTCTCTCCAGCAGCATGTACCTGATGTGGTTTAACTTGAAGGATAGGACCAGATATACCCATTCAGGATAGGAGCTTCACCACACAAGGTCTACTCTTCGTATTTTAGGGTTCTTCACGGGAGTAATTTGAGTCCTCAAGTATATAAACTCAACCTTGGGTCTACTTAATATTTTGATGTGACATAGCGCTTTTCACACTCTCCCTCACATGCGGCCCAAACTCATATGTGGGCGAACAACCTGAATTAAAATAGATATACATATAGGCTGGAGTTGAACAACAGATATGGGGAATTAAACTGGGGTAAGAGACTTAGCTCACGAATCACTCAAGACCCACCTTTGATACCATGTTAGAACATCTAACCCAAAACCAAGTGACAATGGCCAAAGTGACTTTCAAGTATATAAACCAACCTTGGGTCTATTTAATTATCCGATGCGGGATAGCTCTAAGATCTTAACAAGCTAGACCATATTTGTTTATAAACAAAGACATGTATATTGTTTTCTTTTTCCATGAACTATATTTAATAACCAAATCCATCTAAAAAACAATACCATAATGAACCTTGAGCATGCGTTGTTCACCTGAAGTTTGTCATTTAAAGAAATCAAATCATTTGCGCCTTCAGAAAAAAATAGAGAATTCGTATTTATCGGAATAACAGCATTAAAAAATTTCAAATAATATTTGAAATCAAAAACAAATCTTGATACTATAAATGTAAAAATTCATTTAAGTGAATCCAAATCTGGTCCATCCTATCCACTGAATATCTATACCTGGAGCCTGAAACCCATCATGAGGACGATAACACACAATTCTATCTCAAAAACCAGGGGTCAACTTCATAAACACAGTTATAATATGATCAACAAATAGAAACAACTACTACATACAAATTTATTAGTTTAATATGTTAGCAAATGGACTTATATTTCATAGTTCTTGTTTTAAGATTTTAAAAGAGAAGCTAACTTTGTGATTAGTTTGCAACTTTTTCACTGTGTTTTTCACCACAATCTTGACATCCCCTTGCCTTCCACGAATATAAGTTCACAGTCCTATAGTTTAACAGATTTCAGTAACACAAAAATCAGAAGACGAACAAACCTTATAGTCCGTTATAGTCTCCCAAGCAGGTATATCACTTAGACTAGGCAAATTCTGCAACACAAACTTGCCAGCATTCCACAATTTGTTCGTGAATGCCTTATTAGAGGTCAAACGCTCAGTAGATAAATTTAGATCCTGCAAGAAGGCAGGTGAAACTAGTAGCAATAACTGACATGTCGCTCATTCCTTAACAAAATGTGGACCCATAGCCACAACGCAGACGTGTATATAATCCTACACAGAGACTAACCTGACCACAAGTTCCTAAAGCAAGAGTGAACCGTAGAGCATCAGTACCAAACTCTCTGATAGTGTCAACTGGATCTATTACATTTCCCAATGTTTTAGACATTTTTTGCCCCTGAAACAATATCATACAATTAGGAATGGCTGCAATAGTGATCAGGAAACAACACAGGATAGGACGGACAACACATTATCGCTCAACTCTAAGTAAACCTCGTAGTACATTCCAACAAATGCAACCAATACTGGGCTAAGCAATGCATGAAGAGAAGCAAATGGTTTTTAAGATGTTTGTTTTGTCTGATGGTAAGGTAAATGTTAGGAAAGTAGTGATTTGGTGGAGTATAGTTGCAATTATACCAACTCATATTCAGAAAGGTATTACAGGCACTTAGCTTAATGATAGGTCACCTTGAGTCTAACGATCACTGTTAAAAAGCTGCCTATAGCTATGGAATTTGAAGTTGCCAACTAAATCNAACTCATATTCAGAAAGGTATTACAGGCACTTAGCTTAATGATAGGTCACCTTGAGTTTAACGATCACTGTTAAAAAGCTGCCTATAGCTATGGAATTTGAAGTTGCCAACTAAATATCTTCTCTTTCTGCCATTTACAGCTCATTGAAAATAAAAAAAGAATGAAACTGTTGAAGTAGAGGCTGTCTTCCTCAGCATGAAAAGTAACAAGGCTTTTCCCTGTGACTGTTTTATAGATCTTTACTTAAGCAGTTAAGCTTAAGAGGTATGCACATATCACGCAATATGCCAAATGTATTCCTCCATTTAGTTTATCATACTTTATTATATTAGTGATATCATCACCAATCTCACTCTTTATGGACAATTGAGATCCCAAATATCAAAACTATTCACTCTTCGATATTTCTTGCTCTTCGATGTTTCCTACTTCTACTTTCGATTCCTTCTTTTTCTGAAGTTACACTCCATATATTTAGTTTTAGTCCTACTTATCCATATTTTTTTTGATTCTATAGCCTCGCTAGATTTTCTAGTTTATTACTATTACATTACTTATCAATTATCAGTCAATACTATAACATTAACAAATAAACTGTGAGTAGTCAATTCATCTATAACTAACACAAAAAGATGTGAACATAACAAATTGGGAATTCATTAGTCTTCCCAACAGTAATTCGTACTAAAGTTACTAAATTTTTTTTGCATACACTTAATCACATCAATACACCTATTAGTAAACTCATTCCTCTATAAAACTTACCACAATATATCTCCAACAACTACCATATACCTTCTCTAGATCTATAAAAACTATACAAACATCTTTATTTTTCCCTCTACACTTCTCATTAGTCTCCGAAGCAAGTATATAACTTTTATTGGTGATCTATCAAGCATAAGTTCAAACTGATTCTCAAATACTATTGTTTCAAATCTTAAACGGTGCTCGATTGTTCTCTCCCAAAGTTTCAATGTATAGACTCATTTGTTTAATACCTCAATAATTTGTACAACTCTTTATATCTCCCCTATTTTTATATGTAGGTACTAATATACTCTTTCTCCATATATCTGACATTTTTTTTGTCTTTGTAATTTATAGAATAATTTAGTTAACCATGATACCTCAAGTCCTCAATGTCTTTGAATATTTTCAAACCTCTATGGGTAACATGACAAATGGTAGGAGCAAAAATCATAGTTTCTTTTCTTCTCCATCAAAATGTACAAAACATTCTCATTTCCAAGTGACTCCATCATCACGTCCAGAAGGATTGCCATGCAATTTAAAGTCGCTCAGGTAGTGTTGATGTTTCCTTGCATAAACTGTGGCAGTAAAGCTGCGATATCGAATTGATGTGGTTCTTGCACTCCCAAAAAAAGTCTTGAAGAGGATTAGGAAGCGAAAAAAATGTAGTTTGCCTAAAAATATAATAGCAAAAAAATGGCGCCAAATTCAATAGGGAAGAACCCCAGATTGCATTTAAAATAAAAGCCAATTTTTTTTTCCAGGTTTAACTGCTTAATTCTGTTTGATCTAGAAAATTATTAGAATATGGTCTGGTGGGCAAATTCAACATATTTTGTATGTAAAATAGATGTGGGTGAGCCCAAATTGTAAAGTAGGTTTTGGAATTCTCTTTATGATATGCAAGATCACGAAGCTTTGTCTACGTAGGAGTTTAGGGACACCTATCACCATAAAAGGGAGCCTATTCCTAGTACTCTTTTTGGTATAGTTGGTGTGTCGTCATTCTTATTTATATTTATTTTCATGATTTTTGTGAGATTCCAGTTTGTTAGATTATAGGAAATATCTTCTCTTTATCATTCTGATCTCAATGATATCAAATTGAGCCGGTATTTCTATAGACCAGAAATATATTTTAAAATTTTTCCTTTCATGTATGTTGCATTACTGAAATGATGCTGATACATTCCATTTCCACATCCACATCACAGGACAGCACAAGTAAATAAAAAAAAAGATCTGAAGGTGAAAAATATATCTCTTCTATTAGTGTTTATGATATATTAGAGCTTGAAAACAATTCAGTTGCCGAGCAACTGTCACAAAGTACAGTTATTGGAGAAATCTATTTGGCCATATCATCTAAACTTCAATACTAAGAACAACATTATATCATTTGAAACAAAATAAGAAAAAGTTGCTCGTCCAAAGATGTTAAAATTATCTCTAATTAAACAATGATGCATATTGCTAATATAAGAGCGCAAACACATTCACTAGATTTTTCATTTAGAGATTCAGAATCCTTTTCATGATGCGTTAAGTCCACCCCTGAGAGGTCATCTAGGATTATGACCTAAATTGTTGAGCAAGTGCTTCCTGTTATACCAAGTGCAGTGTCACCACTAAAGCAGAAGCCCATTCCACTCACCTGTGAGTCCCGGATAAGCCCATGCAAATACACATTGGAAAACGGAACAGTCCCTGTGAACTCCAATCCCATCATTACCATACGTGCCACCCAAAAAAACAATATGTCATGCCTGTTCAGATACAGCAGCAGCTATTAACCTTCAGGAAATCCAAGTAATATAGATAGTTGAAGAACCTCTCTCTTTTTTTCTTTTTCCTTTTTTTCTTTACATTAGAGAGTATCCACAATACATTCCAATAGCTCTAAGTGATCTTCTTTTAATAAAATGGGCATATACAATCAATTCACACGCATTACAGCCGAGAGTCAAAAAGCCCAATCGTACACCAAACTTCTAATAAGCTTATTATTAATAATAAATCAATAATAATTTCCAAGAACACTAGCTACGGAGGATATCATCAAATTTACTCACATATTCCTAGACTAAGATTGACAAGCATTAGCCAGCTCAAATTCTGATCAACTAGGACTGGAGTGACGAATAAGTAGGTACTCTGATCCAATATCATCTGTCTTTTTGATGTTATCAAATATGCAACCACCATAAATTTCATTAAGATGTAAAAGTAAAACCTTACAAAAACCATCCCCCTCCCCCACAAAAAAAAAAAAAAAAACCCCAAGTTTATCTCCCTCTCTCAAATTACTATTATTCATAGAGTAATTATAAATGTCAGTAACCAGAAAAAAACTTCTAGTTTTCACTTTTACCCCTAATTAATGTCGAAGCAGAGGAGGTATTTACCCAGTTTCAAGTATGGATGTCGGGTAGAACCGTTTAAAATCCTCAGCTGAGACATCGGGCCATCCCAAAGTACTGAAGGGCCATAGTGCACTGAACAAAGGCAAAAGGGGTACATTCAGTCAAATTGTTTAGCAGTACTGCACATGTATATAATATCCATAGACATATATATGTACGTATAAACCTGTACGCATAGAGCAAGCAACCAGGAGGTAGAACTATACATTAGAACATAAGTCCAAGTCGAATTCTGACACTGTCTCAATAAAATCCTCCTTAGTTCTCACCTAAAGGTTAGACAGAAAAATAACAAGGGCAAGACACTGAAATTTCACCCTCTTGGTGGCATATCATATTATTTTCCCTTTGGGTGGAAAGGACAGTCTCAGTCTCAACATTCAGAAATTTCAACATTTTCAGTCCAGCTCATGTAGTTCAACATTCAGAAACTTCAATGGAAATGTCAAAGAAAATTTTCCCAATCACTAATTCAAATCGATTCTATGATTCTATCCTAGCTCAGGAAGTCTGCCTAAACTGACATTTGAAAACTTGCTCAAACTTTTTCATGGTGGAGCACTTGCACTTCAGAAAATCATTATTGAAACCCAAATCTAGAAATTCAATTCAAATGATAGTCTCTTTTCTGGCTTTCGTCAAAGGGAACGGTCTACATCCAATCCTATATTTACTCATTGTCAAAAGGTACTTAATAAAATGTGGATGGTTATTGGTTACTAGTATTTGAAAATTGCAGATACCTATTCGTATACCACTTTTGCAGTAACCAAAAAGCAAGAAGAACAATCCTATACTACTGGGTCCTATGACCAGAACATAGTCTAATCACAGGGTACTCATTTATCTATATATTGTGGGTTCTTTCTTTTCTCTTTGGACCTCAAGGAACAAAAGTACCACCCCCTTGTACAAATCTTTCTTGAACTCTCAGAAAGATAAGTGTTGAGTTTCCAATTTTAATATTATATTTTAGGAATTACTTCATCCAAGCAGATAACAAAACAATCCCATATAATTAATTCATATTTTACATCAACTAAAACGAATAAACTTTTCCATTCAGTCATATAGTCAGAATTGTTCTTAGTGCATAATTTTGCATAGCAAATTTGACATTATTCTTACGTTCTGACTACACATGCAATCCTCCGATTGTTGTTTCTTCTCTTTGAGATTTATTTCTACACCATTTATGAATCATCATATTGTTGCCTTTGTTTTGATAGGAAAGTGCAAAATTCTCTAATTTGACACAAAGAGTTGGGTGTCTACCTCGAATAGAGAAAAAAAGACTTATTCCTTAAATATTTTGCCACACATGTAAGAGATAAACACTTCTCAATTGTTGTAATTACATATTTAGCCATATTTTGTTTAACAAAAGCTTTTTGATAAGAAACTGATTTGCAACAAACTTTGCATATATAAACAAGCTAAAATACTAAACCAATGCCACTTAACTAAACCTGCTTTATTATTTTCTGGTGTAGTTATATTTGTTATTCTATCGTGGAATATAATTACAATACACCTCCTCACAAGTTAACTACCGCTAGTTTGGGAACTGCTAGCTAGAAGACTACCAGCCAAATGAATTTGTAACTAGGGCTGTTAAACGAATAGCTCGGGCTTCGCTTATTTTTAGCTCACTCAAGATCGCTCTTTTTCGTTTTCTAAAACAAGCGAAATTTGACCAAATTCTCAATTTTTGTAATTACATATTTATCCATATTTTGTTTAACAAATTTTTTTTGATAAGAAACTGATTTGCAACAAACTTTGCATATATAAACAAGCTAAAATACTAAACCAATGCCACTTGACTCCTGAGAACAACAAAACCTGCTCTATTTTTTTCCAGTGTAGTTATATTAGTTATTCTATCGTGGAATATAATTACAATATGCTCCTCACAAGTTAACTACCATTAATCAGGCAACTGCTAGCTAGAAAACTACCAACCAAATGAATTTGTAACTAGGGTTGTTAAACGAATCGAGTAGCTCGGGCTTGGCTCATTTTTAGCTCACTCATTCTTTTTCATTTCTAAAACAAGTCAAATCTGACCAACTTTTCAAGCTCGTTTTGTGTCCGTGCCAAAGTTGAGTTGAGCCGAGTTATTCGCAAGCCGGCTCGTTTACAATTCATATTTTTTCTTTACATTTTTACCACTAATACAAAAAGATAGTAGATATGAAGGGTATTCTAGTCAAAGTGCTAAAAATACATTCAAAGAATCCTTACCCATTGATTTTTCTAATTGTTTGCATATTTGTTTTCTCTCCTTGAGCTCCTCACCCACGCGATGTTTGAATACACCTAACCCACTTCCTCTCTCTCTCATGAAGTTTGAATCCTTGAGCCCCAAACCCCCGATCTCTTTGTTACTGCAAAAGCTTTGTTTTAGCATATCCTCCCTCTTCCTTACACTTCTCTATGTCTCTCTCTTCATAACTTTTGTCTACTATTCCGTCTTTTTCTTACTTGCATCTAGGGGACTCTTGCTCATCAAACTCTCTCACGGCTTTTGATTTTTAGACCTCCGAACAACAACCATCAAATCATCATCTTCCACGACTAATCCTAAATCAAATATCACCCCTAATCTCAAAGAGTTGGTACCAAATGCTGAAGCAACTAAATATATCATTAAAGGTCGTCTGGCAAACAATATTATTTATGTAAATGGTGTCTATTGGTAAATTTTGTTCTAACTTTAAATTCTTTGATGTTAGAGTTTGTATTTAGATATGAATTTGAGTTTTAAAATGAAATTTGTTATTTGTGACTTGTGGATTTGAGATTTCAACTTGTAGAGCTTTGATTTGAGATTTATCCTTATATTTTGATTTTGGCTTGAGCTCAACTCGAGCTTGTGCCAACCCGATCTTGAACAAAAATCTAGGCTTGAGTATCAAGCTCATTCCTACCTTGAGCTGATCTCTAAAAACTTGAGTTGAGCCTCAGNTTTAAAATGAAATTTGTTATTTGTGACTTGTGGATTTGAGATTTCAACTTGTAGAGCGTTGATTTGAGATTTATCCTTATATTTTGATTTTGGCTTGAGCTCAACTCGAGCTTGTGCCAACCCGATCTTGAACAAAAATATAGGCTTGAGTATCAAGCTCATTCCTACCTTGAGCTGATCTCTAAAAACTTGAGTTGAGCCTCAGTATACATAAGTTCAGAAGGCTCACCTCATTTAACACCCCTATTTATAATATAAGCAAACAATAAAACAAACTCGTAAAATTAAAAAAAAAATTGTGGGCTCAGCTAATAAGCAAGGTTGTTCTATTGTGAAGTCAAGGTTCAAGTTGCAAAAATAACATTTTCTCATGTTGGGAGTAAGTTTGCATACATTTGACCCTCCCTAGAACTCACAATAGTGGGAGCTTAGTGAATTGAGCCATCCTCTTTTTTTTTTTTTTTTATCTTATTGCTTTATTAGAATTCCTTAGTAGTATTTAATTAATATTTAATATGTAGCACAAAAAGTGGTAGAATTTATCACGGGACTAACTTCAATCCTAAGTAAAGAAGGATGCCGGCAATGTGTACATAAGGAATATGTGTAGGTGTATTTCTAACCAAAGTAAGCTCAAAGGGAAATTTTCAGAAGAATTGATTTTGGTATCTTAGGCAATTCAAGGTTTGTCAATAAATTCGTAATATGCTACTGTTTTATAATATTGGCAAAGAATATTGTGGATTGATTTTTTCTGCTAACTTTGTTCTAAAACTCTTCTGAGTGATTTGAGAAACAAGAAAACTTTATTAATTTAAGAATGATAGAAATGACAAAAAATAAATAAATAATATAGATGAACAAGGTATCCATCTATGAAAAGGAAAAAATCAATTCTCAGCTTCTAAAAATTATGTATCACACAAGGCCCTCAAATTTGGAAAGATACAAAAAAATGGAATGTCATCGAACTCCTTCACAGAAGCCCACAACGACGCCAATAAATAAATGGACAGCATAAACCTTCCTTCCACTCTTCCTAGTGATTTGAAATGTGTTTCTATCTTTCAAGTATGGATTTTTGTCTCGCTCTAAAACTTTTTGACACATGTTAAGTGCAGTTGGAGCTATTGTGCTGTTAAGTGTTACTGATTTGTGAAATTAGCAACAATGATAAAAGTACAACATGTTTGTTTCAGTGTTGCAATGCTATGCATTCAGTGACCCTGGATATGTGTGCCAAAATGAACAGGATTACAGAGCCATGAGTACTTTAAGATGTTATCTGAATTTGTAGATTTAGGTTCTAAACTGATAAGGAATATCTAGTGAAACCTGAATAGAATATTATAGATTAGTTTACTTAGTGGGCGGTTTACTTCACCGATTTTACAATTACAGATTGAGAGATCATAGTTTGAGTCAGTTTCTATTTGAGCAACATCAATCACAGGGGAACAAAGGCTGAAGGCTCAGAGATCATTATTGATCGAATATAGTGGTCTGCTTAAGACATGTTGATTGAAGTCTGTAAACTCATAATTGGTTTACTTTGAAAATATTGTAACCAAAAAGGACTCTGGGATTTGTAGATAAATTTGTCTTGAGGGTTTGAGTGTTCTACTCATAATATTGTGATTGTGGATGAGTTCAAGTATCTAAATCTTGATGGTCTGGATTCAGTCCGTGACAGAAGCACTTCCAAAAATAATGGCCAATGAATGGAATAGATTCTATTTTGTATTCTGATTGTTATATGAAAACTAGATAACAACACTGCATCTTGCACAAAACTAAGTATTTGCTTAATCTCAGTCACAATCCAAATGGGCAATTAATCAATATAACTTCTATACCAAAACCATGGAAAAAGTTTAACTGAGAAACTTCTAAACAAATAAATACATACAATTAACTACTATCAAACTGCATAATTAACTTTTTGAAAAAAGCTACATAACTAGATTCTTTGAAGTTTTCAGTGAAATTAAAGCAAAAGAATTGAGGGTAATGTTTTGCATGCATCATGTGACAAACCTTGAAAACCAAGTATCAAGAACATCTGGATCCTGATATAACTCAACATTTGTTCCATACTTCTCACGAGCTTTCTGAAGAGCGTCTTCTAAGCTCCTAGCAACTACATATTCTTCTTCACAGTCTTTTCCAATAATATACCAAACAGGTATCCGGTGTCCCCACCATAGTTGTCTGCTTATACACCAGTCTTTGATATTTGACAGCCAGTGATTGTATATCTACAGTCAATAAGCAGCGACACAAATAAGGTAAAAGAATAGAGTTTTGACACGAGAGGTTGCCAACTTGATGACAATGATAATCATGTTATCTTTATATTTCAGAGACAAAGGTTTGGAGTGTTTTATATCTCACCTCTTTTAATTCAGCCACTTGGAAGTGTGCGAGAACATTTTATATTAAAAACGATTGATAAGTAAGAGTAACACCAACAGGGGAAGGAAAAATACAATATGAATGGACTCCATACATAGTACTTCCCACTTAGAGCTATATAATGATAAGTTTGAAAGATCATCAAATAGTGTTGATGAATCATGACAATGATTCATACGAACATCCATGTTAAGGGTAAGAAAATACAAAAAGTGTAAGGATCAAACAAAAATGGTCAGAAGTACATGACAAGAGCCAAAATGACACAAAAGCAAGAACGACTTTTTAATCTTATTACTTACCTTCTCAAATCTTTCAGGCATAATGGTTAGTTCCCCTTTTTCCACTGCCTTGAGGGCATTCTCAGCCATGGGCTCCATGGTGACAAACCATTGTTTACTTACAAGAGGCTCTATTATCTGATTGCAGAAAAATCATTATGAGAACACAAAACCTGATGAAAGAAGCATCTATTCAACTAAGTTCCTAAAAATTTGAAAGAGCAAAGAGAACTTCAATCACACTTCTCCACCACGTTGGGATCTAGGAACTCGTAAAGTGTGGGGCTCCTTTTTGACAGCTAAGCCCGTCTCTTCAAGATCGGACCACAATTTCCTCCGTGCCTCAAACCGATCAAGGCCACTGATTACACAAGTGCAATTTGCATATTAGCAAACATAAAATTCCTAATTAATCCAAAATTTGTTTACAATCTGAAAAATTCAATCCATAGCTAACCAGTACAATCCAGCGACTTCATTGAGCGTTCCATCCTTGTTCATCACATTGAGTATAGGAAGACCAATTTTCCGAGCAAGAAGATAATCATTGTGATCATGCCCAGGACTGATCTTCAAGATGCCCGTTCCAAAGTCTTTATCAACATACTGCCACATTGGCAAGAATCAGTATAACATCCACCGATAATACTATAAAACAGCTTTCAAGGATAATCTTGAAAAGAGGAGGGGGAAATATATCAAAACTGTCAAATCAAAATAATTTTTTTACGATAAAAAATGTTCATTTAAAAAGAAAGTGTGTTTAGGCACAAATAGGAAATCAGAAAATCAAGATAGCAGGGCAACACGTAGATGCATTAACAGTCCCAGGAATATCGAAAAATTACAAGAAAAATTTTTCCCCTCACATTGAGGTTTATATTGAGGATTTAGCATGCAAATCACCTCTTGCATGACATGGATGCTTCTTCTGGAGAACCAGTATCATATTAACAGCTAAAGTGACATATAACTTACCACACACAGCAAGTGAATGTTTTTACCTTGTCAGAGATTATCGGAACATGACGGCCAAATGTCATTGGCACAATTGCTTGCCTTCCAATATATTTAGCATAGCGTTCATCCTGCAAAAACAGTAATACCACCATTTTGAGGTAATCCAATAGAATAGATTCCCTCATTTGTATGTTTAAAGAGAGCTTGAATAGAAAGATAAGTGGGAAGCTGCCATTGTCAAACCCTCATTGAAAAGACTACTCCTGCCCTTCCAGGATATAGATTGGATGCCAACTGTAACCCCTATATTGATTCAATAATAGCAAATAGACCATATTCTGTTCAACCTAATTCAACTCAGGAATCAATCCATAGGATTTGTCTCAAAATGTGACAGCAACACACATTTTGAGCCAAAACCCAAAAACAAACTGATTGGGCTACTGCAAGAAAGGTATACTATAAGAAAGACATCATATTTTGCACAAAGCAGGCCAAAGTCCATTTTGGCATATGAGATAAACAATCGAATGACAAGCCAAAAGGGGATCCAGTTTCAAAACTTGTCAGCATGAATATATTTCATACTTAGTTAGGCACATTGACACTCTGCTTGCAGAGGGAACTGGAGGGAGGCTAAATGCAGTAAGGCCTATTTAAACATTCCTGGCACAACACATTAGATCTTGCTGTCTTCACTCCATGTAAACATAAGGCACAACCAAGCATTCCTTTCTCTTTGAAGAACTCAGTGACCATCACTAACACAAGAAAATTGCAAAGCAAGGATGAAATTCAGACAGGGGCCATTTAGATGTCAAGCCTACTATATCCACACTACGTAATCCAAATGAGCATGAAAGTAGCTACAAGGAAATCCCGAGCTTAATACCCATGAAAAAAGAAAAGATGGATCAACTGAGAAACCAATTGGATCTACTTAAAAACCTGTAGGCCAGAAAGACAAAATTGCCATAAATCATAGTATCTGAAAATTTTCTTCCACTTTTAGTAGTTTGTGTATGTTTTAAGTTCTTGTCTCTTGCCCTTTTAAGTTCTTATTTTGTCAGAAATGAAGTGGAAACAAAGCCTGGTTTGAACAAGAATATCATTGTTTCTATCAAAATTTATGGGAACCAACTTATAAACGGAACTGTATGGATTTACAGTATGGGTAATTTAGAAATATTTCGATGTTAACAATTTAGTGCTATATTTCGATGTTAAAAATTTAGTGCTAAGGCACAAGATGTTTTGCTTATATTGGCATAAAAATGCTGACAATGCTCATTGATCAAAATTTTCAGGAGCAATACATGTTTTTGATTAAACATGGTAGGAAGACGCTTCTTTATGTCGAGAACATAAGACCTTGCATTGACATCTCTGTTAAAGAGTATAATTTTGGCCAATTGTTGCAATCAGTAGATGAACCATCCAAAGAATCATGAAATTCTACAAGGAAAGTATGTGACTAGATATTGGACTCATGAGCAAATAGTAACAGCAGAGAAAATTTAACCTTGTTCCACAAGAGACTTCCACAGTGCTAATAAGGCAACATACCCTTTCAAACAAAATGTGAAGAAAGTAACTCTCATGCACCTCTAAGAAACTGGCCTGTCCATCGACGTTTTAATTCAAAGCAACTAACCATACCTCAGGATGCACTGCAATTGCTGTATCACCGAATAAAGTCTCTGGACGTGTTGTTGCAATTGTCAGATAATCACTCCTACAAGGTGAGAAATCATGGTTTTGACATAAGGATAGGGATCCACAGCAATTAAGATAATGCATAAAATATGAAACTGAGAAGATTGTTTTTCTTCTTGGTGACTCCTTTTCCATAGTTTGGCGGATGAGAAAAGTACTGCATGTACATTCCCATTTAAGAATTTCTACTTTTTTCTATGAATTCAATCAGCGAAATATTTTCATTTCACCAATGGATTTGACTATAAATTTTAGCATTCTCATCAAACAACAGGAAAAAGCTATTTTAGGATGATGATAGTGACAACAATGACAAAAACAGACAATAAACACTGGTCCCACTCATTTTGTTTTGTTTCCCCTTTATTCTTCAGTTCTTTTCTGTTTTCTTTTTCATAAGGCACTGGCGTGAGGTTGATACAAACTACGAAAGAAGATCAATTTCCTAAAAAATATAAATCAATGTATTATTTTAGCAAGCAGCCCATGCATCTCAACAAAGAAACCATTATGCCTCAGTTCCTTAGCCCTCCTTGCTCCTTCCAGTTTCTTTGGGGTCACCTTCAATTTGGCAAATTAAGGTCCTTAGCTGTATATTGTATTTTCAACTTTTAAGAGATTCATAGGCTTTATCTTGATAGGTCCAAAATAAATGATTTTTCCAGGAACTATGAAGCCACTAGCCTTTAGTTGGTTTTAAGAGGGAAATATTGGGGGATTTCGCCTCTCTTTCCAAAGCTTCATGCAGTATATTATTTACTATCATTGTCATCTATGAACATACATTGGCTCATACCCAAAAAAAACTATGGAGACAAAGAAGAAACTAGGGCCAGTCCTTAAACCCCACTCCTGATGCAGAAACGAAAGGAGGGGGAAGGATATTTCTTCTACCATTTCCAATTAGAGAAGTAAGAAAATAAAAAAGAAGAAAAGACCCCTTTTTTTTAAAAAAAATATCCCTAGCGTCAGGTAAGTCCATGTGGTGGCCTTTTCACCTTTGTTCCATGCCAGCATAAAGCAGGAAAACAAAGAGCTCCTCTGTCATAACCCTTACTAACGGTATACCTTAGACATGTGCATGCTATGATATTTTGATGGTTCTTTGGGTTAGATATTATATAAGTTGGTTTCCATTAACTTTGATAGGGTGTATATACCAAATGTTGATTTAATCAAGCATGATTAGGAAAAGATAGCCTAGCTAATCAAGCCACCATTGTGGACTTTTCTAAGAGGTGTTTGTGTGAGTAAGAAAGAAAAAGTGCTAGGTGAAGGCACCTTAAAAGAGGTAGNTGACTCCTTTTCCATAGTTTGGCGGATGAGAAAAGTACTGCATGTACATTCCCATTTAAGAATTTCTACTTTTTTCTATGAATTCAATCAGCGAAATATTTTCATTTCACCAATGGATTTGACTATAAATTTTAGCATTCTCATCAAACAACAGGAAAAAGCTATTTTAGGATGATGATAGTGACAACAATGACAAAAACAGACAATAAACACTGGTCCCACTCATTTTGTTTTGTTTCCCCTTTATTCTTCAGTTCTTTTCTGTTTTCTTTTTCATAAGGCACTGGCGTGAGGTTGATACAAACTACGAAAGAAGATCAATTTCCTAAAAAATATAAATCAATGTATTATTTTAGCAAGCAGCCCATGCATCTCAACAAAGAAACCATTATGCCTCAGTTCCTTAGCCCTCCTTGCTCCTTCCAGTTTCTTTGGGGTCACCTTCAATTTGGCAAATTAAGGTCCTTAGCTGTATATTGTATTTTCAACTTTTAAGAGATTCATAGGCTTTATCTTGATAGGTCCAAAATAAATGATTTTTCCAGGAACTATGAAGCCACTAGCCTTTAGTTGGTTTTAAGAGGGAAATATTGGGGGATTTCGCCTCTCTTTCCAAAGCTTCATGCAGTATATTATTTACTATCATTGTCATCTATGAACATACATTGGCTCATACCCAAAAAAAACTATGGAGACAAAGAAGAAACTAGGGCCAGTCCTTAAACCCCACTCCTGATGCAGAAACGAAAGGAGGGGGAAGGATATTTCTTCTACCATTTCCAATTAGAGAAGTAAGAAAATAAAAAAGAAGAAAAGACCCCTTTTTTTTAAAAAAAATATCCCTAGCGTCAGGTAAGTCCATGTGGTGGCCTTTTCACCTTTGTTCCATGCCAGCATAAAGCAGGAAAACAAAGAGCTCCTCTGTCATAACCCTTACTAACGGTATACCTTAGACATGTGCATGCTATGATATTTTGATGGTTCTTTGGGTTAGATATTATATAAGTTGGTTTCCATTAACTTTGATAGGGTGTATATACCAAATGTTGATTTAATCAAGCATGATTAGGAAAAGATAGCCTAGCTAATCAAGCCACCATTGTGGACTTTTCTAAGAGGTGTTTGTGTGAGTAAGAAAGAAAAAGTGCTAGGTGAAGGCACCTTAAAAGAGGTAGAGAGGTCTAAGAATACAAGTGTCTTATCTGTACATATACATGTGTGTGTGTGTGTATATGTGTCTTGCAATTATATATCTTGAAATTAAAGAAAGAGAAAAGAGTAGCTTGTGTCGGGAAAGAGGCACTTTTGTAGAGAATGAGAGAAAAGGAGAAAAGGAGAAAAAGAGAAAAAGAGAAAAAGAGAAGAAACGCAAGGGAAAAATTCAAGGAAGTAATCTAGGGCTTGGAATTACTCTCAAACAAGGTATGATTCTTGGTTTCAAGTATGTATTCTTTACTTTAATTGGAAAGAATTATGTAATAACAATAAGAAAGGAGAAGTAAACAAGAAATAGTGTTCTAGTTAGTTTAATTATAATGCTATAAATATTTCACATGATATGAACCATAAAGTTGTTTGTGATGGAGTTTAAACACTTCCCAAAATTCAGAAAATTCTGGACAACAGACGTTTTCGAGATTACTTATATGAGTTATAATTGGTTGATGATTCTTAAACTTTGATAAGGTTTGAAATAGATTAGTAAAGGGTTCTTTTGGCTTTGGTTTCATGCAAAAAGGATGAAAATTCGAATTTTGGTGAATTTAGGAAGTTAACCCTGACCTCCGGAAACCTAAAAATCTGCAGCTTATGCTCAGTTTGACAAGTTATTTTGAACATGTATTTGATCTCCAAAAATAGTACTTTTTGTGGAAATGGAGTTCTTTGAGTTCGGTTTTATTTGCCACTGGTCGCGTGAAGTTTCAACTTGTATAAGTTAGGATATGAAGTTTTTAAAGTGCAAAGCTCTAATCTGGCAGATTATGGAAATAATATATAAATGAAAATTTTTAATGGGATTAAAACTAGAACATTGGATGTGTTGACCAAGAGGTTTAAAGAACTAAAATTAAAGTTGTTTCTCTTACTTGGAGTGAGAAGAAAGAGGTATAACATTAAGTACAAGATGACAATATTAGGGATCAATAGTAGACATATTAAGTACTTACAAATAAGAAGTGCTACTGATGTGTTGTGTGATGAAAGTAATGTATATGAAATATGTGTAGGACTTGTTAAAAGGAGTTGAGAGTTATAAAGCTTGGTTAAGAACTTAGTAAAGCCAAAAGAACCCATGTTATAAAGCTTGGTTAAGAATTATTCACATTGGATTTTCAGGTGAAGGGGACTAAGTTCAAGGGAGCAAGTTTTATACATAAAAAACAATGCTTTGGTGGTTATGTATAGAAGTTGCGAATGAACTTTGTGGAAAGTTACTTTCGGTATGTAAAGGTCATGTTTTGTATAAATGGCCGATGTATGTTATGAGTTGTAACAACTATGTTAGTTGTTAATGAGCTATGGGTAGGTTTGCTTTGACCAAATGTGATTCCATCATATTATTATGGTATTTATTACAAGTAAATCCAATGTGATCACAAATGCTTCCGCTAAGTAAATCAATAAACATAAACAGGTGGTAACACATTGCTTCCTTGTTAAACCTCCATGGCAGGTCATGCCCCCTTAGAGAAATGGCTTTGGCACATGACATCCACCCCTTCCCCCCCCCCGGGCGGCGTGACACCAAAATAAAAGGCGTGTTTCGTTTCGGCCTCCTACCCATGGGCAACAAAAAGTAACTAATCTTACTAACAGCTAAATAAAATTCAGGATACAATTCATAAAAACCTCAGCAATAAGGTGTGCTAAATGATGCTGACAACTTTGTTTCATATTGAAATATATGAAGACCCCTTCTCACAGAGCTGCTTTTGTCATCAGTTCATTGTGGTCATTTCAGTCCATTCAGATCTACCTCAGCCCTAAGAGCATACAATTTCTTGTCAACTTCTTTTTTTTGGGTTTTTGACCTCGGATCCAGACCATTTTTTCTTCATTTCAGCTATAATAGAGTCATAGAGACTAACTTAGTGTCAGTATATATTGCCCCGCAGATAAAATTGAAAAGCTAACTAAAAATAGATTCCATGAATATGGTTTCCACCACCCAAAGTAGTATTATATCTTTATTAAAATTGAGAAATATAGATGATGCTAACACTGCTCTTGCTATTTCTGAAATTGACAATCAGCAATCAACCCAGTCTGTTCTACTAAATATGATTTCAGCAAGCTCAATAAGGAGGAGGGAGTGAGCATTAATACAACAAATGCGGAAAATGCCACAAATACTAGAATTAGTTGCAAAGTAAAATTTTGCTCTGTACTGAATGTTTGTTTAAGCAGCTAAATACCAGATAAACTGAGCTAAAACAATATGTCAAACAGTAGTGGAAAATTTACAGGATACTTGCATGATAATTACCTTGAACCTCCCGCAACACGATACTTAATGTAATATAGATTACCAGGTTCTTCTGAATATTCTACTTCCTAAGCACAGTTAAGGCGATTCATGTCAAAAAAAGTAAGATCTCAAACAAAAAGTGTAGAAACAGTAAGGGCACATTAGTCTAAACGTAGCATACCAAATCTGAAACTGCAGTCTGCAAACTAGGGGACCAATTGACCATGTAAGAACCTGCATGCAAATGCCTCTAGTTAGAGTTCTTATTTATACAATCAGTAGTGTAGGGTAATATTGTAATTTCTATAATATTTGTTTACTATATATAAGAGAGTGTAGTGCAACATAACCTACGGTCCTACACAACAAATTATTCTCTCTCTCTTCTTTTCTTTTCTTCGTTCCTCCTATTCTCCTTTTCTTATGAACCCTAATTCCGTTTCTGCAATTTCAACTCCTCTAGATGTCATATGACTTCTAATGACACAGGTGACAAATGGAACATCAACCAATTGCTTAAATTGATGACCATGGAAGGTAACACTCCTAAAACCATCAAGGCACTGAGCTGCAATGCTATTCTGAAACCGGAAGCCATAGTATAGTCATTGTGGCCTGACATGCTAATGGTTTGGATTTAGAAGGGAATTGCGGATCCACCATACTTTGTTGTGGAGCAGTTTCTCGAGGATAGTTCATTTTGATAAGATGTTGATGGCTTCTCATCAACATGAAATGGACAGGGAAAGAGGCACCAGAGTAATCTTTGAAAAAATAAAGAGAAAAGCTAGAATAATTTTGGGTCCTGCACAAGCCCCCCAATATTTGTCCGCCTCCTCCCCACCCCGGGGCCCCACCTACAAAAAACGGTGGCAAGAGGGCCCTACCTCTCTTCCCCCCCCCCCCCCNATGGTTTCCACCACCCAAAGTAGTATTATATCTTTATTAAAATTGAGAAATATAGATGATGCTAACACTGCTCTTGCTATTTCTGAAATTGACAATCAGCAATCAACCCAGTCTGTTCTACTAAATATGATTTCAGCAAGCTCAATAAGGAGGAGGGAGTGAGCATTAATACAACAAATGCGGAAAATGCCACAAATACTAGAATTAGTTGCAAAGTAAAATTTTGCTCTGTACTGAATGTTTGTTTAAGCAGCTAAATACCAGATAAACTGAGCTAAAACAATATGTCAAACAGTAGTGGAAAATTTACAGGATACTTGCATGATAATTACCTTGAACCTCCCGCAACACGATACTTAATGTAATATAGATTACCAGGTTCTTCTGAATATTCTACTTCCTAAGCACAGTTAAGGCGATTCATGTCAAAAAAAGTAAGATCTCAAACAAAAAGTGTAGAAACAGTAAGGGCACATTAGTCTAAACGTAGCATACCAAATCTGAAACTGCAGTCTGCAAACTAGGGGACCAATTGACCATGTAAGAACCTGCATGCAAATGCCTCTAGTTAGAGTTCTTATTTATACAATCAGTAGTGTAGGGTAATATTGTAATTTCTATAATATTTGTTTACTATATATAAGAGAGTGTAGTGCAACATAACCTACGGTCCTACACAACAAATTATTCTCTCTCTCTTCTTTTCTTTTCTTCGTTCCTCCTATTCTCCTTTTCTTATGAACCCTAATTCCGTTTCTGCAATTTCAACTCCTCTAGATGTCATATGACTTCTAATGACACAGGTGACAAATGGAACATCAACCAATTGCTTAAATCGATGACCATGGAAGCTAACACTCCTAAAACCATCAAGGCACTGAGCTGCAATGCTATTCTGAAACCGGAAGCCATAGTATAGTCATTGTGGCCTGACATGCTAATGGTTTGGATTTAGAAGGGAATTGCGGATCCACCATACTTTGTTGTGGAGCAGTTTCTCGAGGATAGTTCATTTTGATAAGATGTTGATGGCTTCTCATCAACATGAAATGGACAGGGAAAGAGGCACCAGAGTAATCTTTGAAAAAATAAAGAGAAAAGCTAGAATAATTTTGGGTCCTGCTCAAGCCCCCCAATATTTGTCCGCCTCCTCCCCACCCCGGGGCCCCACCTACAAAAAACGGTGGCAAGAGGGCCCTACCTCTCTTCCCCCCCCCCCCCCTTTTAAAGTCAATTCACTTTATCATACTCATCTTAAGACCTGAAACAGCATAAAACCATAACAATCACCTTCAAGAGCTGGAGTTGATTTCCATCCGCACCACAAAAGTATCAAGCTCAAGTAAATTCTTTAAATGAACATGGAGTAAATCCCACCCCCACATGAAAATTAAATATCTTATCCAAGAACCCACTTCTAATCTTAGCATCAAAACATCCAGTTGCAATTAGAACTACATCAAAATCTATCAATCTACTACACAAGCTTATGGCTGTGTTAAACCAGGTTCTTCACCACCTTATTTGACCTCAAAGCCAGTACCTGGTGATCTTCTAAACACTGTTGTTCAAACCATAAGTTGAGAATCAATCACATCAACTCCCCCTTGCATTCAAGGGGAAAAAATAGCCTTTGGAACTAGCCAAATTGACCCCTCTTGTCAAACTTAAAGAACACTTTTGAGTAAGTCTACCTTCAACGCACATCAACTCTTGATAGAAGCCATTGTCATCCCATCCGGGCTCGGGCTTTATCTTCATTTGACTTTCCTCTTTGATGATTCTATCCCCTGGAATTCCAGTTTCTTCCTGATTAAAATGATTGGAAAAGTAATCAGGTCATACACTTCTGCATCCCTTTTCCCTTATCTGATGGAGGTTCGTCTCTTTAACTTGATGCTTTAAAGTCTTGACAAAGAAGTTTTCTTCCAACTCCTCCTTTCATTCTGTCGTTAAGGATGTCAGCACCGCTGCCTCCCCTCAGCTATACCTACACCCCGATATGTGTGCGTGCTTCAAACTGAAAGATGGTGGATTGTTGTGGTTAATTCTTGTCTAAGTCTCCTAATTGTTGTGGTCAACGGTTTGTCTTCAGTGGCAGGGAGAAGTTGGGTTACTCCCTTGCATGTCACAAGTCCAATGAAAGTATCTTCAAACATTTTGGTTAGAACACAGAGTGGCAATTGTGATTTTATGCCATGAACATAGGAGAGTTGTTTTATTTAATGAAGCCTCACTCTTAGGGGTCAAAAAATAAAAGAGGAAAAGATGAAATTATGCCTCACGTATTTAATTAACAACCACCACCACAAATGTGAAAAACAGCCTCTACCTTGATAGATTAGACCTTTCTCGTGAAGCCTAACAAAAGCCTCAATGACAGCTCCTGCAACAATTAACATCATGTAGGTATGTTATTAAAACAAAAAGGAAATCTAATCTACAGCTCATAAATAGAAAATCATATCAAAAGACATTTAGACACATTTAGGTACATACATGACCAATACTACCATATGCAAAATCTTAACACAATAAACCTGATATACTATCACAATCCCAAACTTTCTCATACATGCTTCTTAGACTAAAAGAAACTTGGCCGAATGAAAATTGTCTTACGACTTAGCTGGTCATCGAGGGTGAAACGCTCTCTGGTCCAATCACAAGAAGCGCCAAGTCTCTTAATCTGATTTGTGATGGTTCCACCATACCTGATAAAAATAAATAAATAAATAAGCATCCCATTACTAGTAGGGAGTGCTGACTCAACCTTAAGCACCAGCATTTCTCACAATAATATAGAGACTTTCACGAAAATGGGAAACATCTTATCTGCCAATTGTCAATCAACCATATATGCTAGGATGAAATGCAAACCTGAGAATGTAAGTGATCTTTCCTCTCAGTGCCCCAAATGTGTCTTTTGATGGTAAGCAAGTATCTACTTCAATTTGAATACCAGAAACTAAGATACATAATTAACACAACTCATTTCAATCATCTAAATATGGACAAAACATGCAAACTTAATATTACAGTTAATAGTTAACCAATTCTGTATTAAGAACAAACTCTGCTACCACAGTTGATTGACAAATTGTACCAATATTCAAACTTTTGTGAGTAACTATCAGGTTCATCATAAATTTTAAGGGAATATAAGGCAGATGATCCTAAAACAATTGAAACTATTTTTTGCCAATTGCATTACAATGGCTTTGCTTCTATTGCCCCTCCTCTGGATCCATTACAATTTACAATGGGACCTAGCCGGGTGCCAAAAGTAGAATCTCGACATTTCATCCATCGTATTGTAGCATTCCAATTTGTAGGATCTTAACATCTAAGTTGCTGGATTGTCTCATTCACAGGTCATTCTATGGGAGTCATCATACCACAACTACTATGTTCTATAAAAACACAAGCCCAAGAGTGGCAGTAGTCACTAGTATATATTGTTCCAACTCCAACGCAGAAGACACTACAATTTACAAAAGAAGTTTTCTTTCAGACAAGCTGAACCTTGTCTCCATCCATAACACTAGGGGTTGAGGAATTGTCTACAGCATCACATAAAACAAGAAACCGAGAAATCAGTTATGATACAGATACATTGGGCAACAAAGAAACAAACAAAATAAAGAACAACCAAGAAACATTACGTTCCAAAACTAAGTACAGCTAAAAAGCAGATGATAAGAGGGATGTGTGGTAACAAAAGTAATGATAGAGTTGGGACCTATTGTATTCATGATAGTACAAACAGTATCACTACAAGATAAATCAAGAGAAATTGACTAAGGTGATCTCGACATGTTCATAGCAATTTTAACACCTCTAAATAAATTCTTACCCACCACCCTTCCCAAGGGGCCTATCAATGGATCGAATTCTGGTTGATCCTAATCTGAATCCAATTAAAAAAAATAGTTCTGAATTTGATCCGTATATGTGACGAATTTTTATTTTATGCTCCATCTCCGAATTCGGTAACTATTGGATATACGATCTAATCCAACTAGATATTGGCTCAATCTCAGTTCAATTGGAGCTCGATTTAATATCTAATTTCAACTAATCTTAGCCAAAAATTCAACAAATACATTAATTTAAGCCAAAATAATATAAAAATAATGAATAAATTTGACGTTGAGCTTATTTTTCGATAAGTTGGGTAGACAATGGTGGTTAAGGGACCTGAGGATGAGGGAGTTAGTGAAAAGGGGCATGAACATGAGGCATAGAAGGGTCAGAGAGACCTCCATGGGAGCTGAGACCGCGGAGAAGGGAAACAAGAAGGGAGTTGTGTGGGGGATGTGAAAGAGTTAGGAAGAAGACACAAATAAGATTCTGGAGAGTGGGATGAGAGAAAGGAGAAAGAGAAGTAAAAAAAGAAGAAATGAAAGAAAGACCGAGAAAAAAGAAGAGTGGGACAAAATTTAAAATTGGAAAAAAGAGGTTTGATATTGGGGAAGTCTTCTAAGAGCCTATTGGCACGCTTTTTCAACTTTTTCAAAACATATGCAATATTTATATACAACAATTGCACATAATAAATTTAGTATATTTAAAATCAGATATATAACCAATAGAATTAGGTGTCATTTGGTAACTTCGTATTTTTGTTTTTGTTTTTTTTATGGCAAAAACCAAAAAACAAAAAGACATTTGGTGAATATTTTCGTTTTTTTTTACTACTCCGTTTTGAAAATAAGGCCAAAATAAGAAAACAACCAAAAATAAAACAAACGCGTAACTTCAAAATGGAATTTAATGAGATCATGGTTTCGATCCTCTTTAACAACAAAAATGGACTTTCTTACTTGAGTATAAAAAGCTCCCTCCCAACTTTTTTTTTTTTCCAGATCCCCTTTCTCTCTCTTCCTTTTCTGTTTTTCTTGCTTGGATTTTGCAGAGGGTTGGATGGCGGTTTTTTTTTTTTTTTTTTTGGGGGGGGGAGGTTGGGTTTCCGGGGGTTAGGTGATGGTGGATTTTGGGGGTGGGTAGTGAATTTTACTGGGGGCTGGGTGGTGGTGGATTTCGAGAGTGGGTAATGGGTTTTGTAAAGAGGGTTGGGTGGTGGGTTTCAGGGGTGGGTGATGGTGGATTTCGGGATGGGTAGTGGGTTTTGCAAGGGGTTGAGTGGTGGGGTTAGGTGGTGGTGAATTTTGGGGGTGGGTGGTAAGTTTCTGCAAGGATGTTAGGTGGTGGGTTTTGGTGGGGGTGGTGGGGTTAGGTGATGGTGGATTTCGGGTGTGGATACTGGGTTTTGCAAGAGATTGGGTGGTGGTGGATTTCAGGGGTTTTGTAGAGGGTTGGGTGGTGGGTTTCGGGAGTTGATGGTAGATTTTGCCGAGGGGTTGTGGGAATGGGTTTCAGTGATTGGATGTTAGATATTTGGTGGTGTTAGGTGGTTGGTAGAGGTGGTAGGTTTTACAAGAGGGTTGGGTGGTGGATTTTTGTTTTTATTATTTTTTAAATATAAATGACTATCAAGCATGTTTTATATTTTCAGCTTTTATCACAAAAAAACAAAAAAAACAAAAAATAGTTTTGTTTTTTTTATAAAAATAAAAAATAAAAATGAAAACGTTACCAAATTTGATCTACTATTAATCCATATCCAAATCCGATTGGAGTGATCTAAACGGATTCATATCGCATTAGGATTATGGATCAACTATTAATCAATATCCGAGTAAATGGATTCGAATTTGAATCATATTTGGACCGATTGGTCAAAATATACAAAAATATGTTAAAAAAATTCAAAACATTCCAAAATATTGATGAAAACCTATCGAAACAGCTCGAAACACCTTGAAGCATTGGCATTTCAATTCGATTTGTTTTAATCTCTTACAAACCAAAAAATTTTGGCTATTTCAACTGTTTTGAAACAAAATTTTGATCCTTGGCCACGACTGCACATGTGTAGAATTAAATTATATTATAAGATGTGGGAATCAATTCAAACAAATTTGATCTACTAAGTTGTAACTTGTAATTCTGCAAAAGACAAAAACAGTTGTGCTTTCCGGGCAATGAAGCATTTTATTTGTAGTAGTAGTTACATCCTCTAGGCACTATGGAACTTTAACATTGATACAATTCATAGAGCGCAATCTATTTTTCATGACTTGACAACTGACCCATATTGAAGAGACCAATGATGTGATCAAAGCTCACCTAAATATAGTGAGGAGTGACCAAGAAGACTTCAAGAGAACCCCTTACCAGCTGGTTTTTCTAAATATCACAGTGATCCTAGGCTCTTATGCTCAATTTTTTGTCTTAATTGTTCAATACTTGTTGCACTAAATGGTGTGACTCCTGATATCACTAGTTAAATAGCAAAATAAGCATGCAGCTGAAGACATGTGGTCTGGATTAATTAAGGCCATGTTAACTTCCCCTGTGTGTGTTTATTGCATAGCTATCCTTGTAGTTTGTTCCTCATAGACTTAAACTACATGGACCTCCCCATTAAGATGGGACTTCAGGCACTATATCATACTTCTTCAATATTATTCTAGTTTAGCATTAGCTCTAGGAACCTCCTACCTAAGACAGGNGTTTGTTCCTCATAGACTTAAACTACATGGACCTCCCCATTAAGATGGGACTTCAGGGACTATATCATACTTCTTCAATATTATTCTAGTTTAGCATTAGCTCTAGGAACCTCCTACCTAAGACAGATGTTGCTTCCTGCTCAAGATAACCCTCAGGAGTTAATATTAGCAGATTAGAAGATATTCCTGGCACTAACACATCCTCCACGCACCTAAGCCCTAGCCATACATTGGATACAAATGAGACATATTTAGACTTTGAAAAATAAAAAATCTATTTGGGGAGTGGGGATGATACAAGTGACATGGAGGGAAACATTTGACAATATTATTTCAGGTAAGTATCATATTCAATAGTCTAGGGCAACTCTACAACAATAGTTAATCTGAAGATACAATATTTCACGTTCTATAAAAAACATATAATAGAATAGATTCCCAAGTCTGAAAAATACACTCCCAATTAGAAGCAATAAATCAGTATGCTACTATTATTTGAATTCCTAATTACATTAGTAACCGCTATGTACCACAAATTCCTAATTTTCGTCCCCACCTTGTACTCCCTCCCCAAGTAACTGGATTTTGTTGCCAACATTTAACAATTTTAATGAGAAGAAAATAGAAAAAGAAATAAGACATAATTTATATAAACGAGCAAACACAAAGACATATAAGCAAAGAAATGCTATGCAATTATTGGTTGTGTACAACACGAAAAAAACAATGAAAAATAAAAAGGAAACTGTGAGTTAATGACAATGTTGGGGGTTGGAACTTGGAAGCAATACAAAAATGCTTATAACATGTAAGAAACACAAAAAGGAGATAGAAATATCATCTATAAAATACATTTTGCATAAAATAAAGCCAATGGAAGTGGGATAAGTAGATATACTACTCTTTTCACTCCCAAACTTGTTGTGTAAACTCATCTCTACCCAATTAGTAGCAATTAGTACGCTACTATTATTTGAATTCTTAAGGAAATTAGTAGCTACTACGTGCAATAAACTCTTAATTTTTTTTTCAAGCTTTTACTTTCTGCTCCCTCCCCAAGTAATTGAATTTTGTTGCCAACATTTAACAACTTTAATAGGAAGACAATAGAAAAAGAAATAAGACATAATCTATCTAATAGAAAAAGAAATAAGACATAATTTATAAACAAAGAAATGCTATGCACAAAACAAAAATAGAAATAATCATATGTGAAACACATTTTGTATAAAAAAAAGTCAATAGAAGTGGAACAAGTAGATATACTTCTTTTTCCACTCCCAAACTCGCTTTGTAAACTCATCTCTACCCAGTTCGACCTTCTTTATTCCTTCAGAAGCAAGCATCCTTTCCACAACCAACTAAAAATGAACGCACATTAGATTAATTTATGTACAGAGAAAATGAAAAAAGTCTTAACGACAATAAAAGGCAATAAGACAAAAAAGAAAGAGTTACATGTCTACTCGCTTGCATGCGCCACATACTTGCACAACACATACAGCATTTAAATACAAAAAATACTCCAAAACAAGTAAAGGACATTGATAATTTTGCTCATCATTATGAAAAAGAATCGCAATCATACATATCATGAAAACATAACTCCTCTTATGATCTACTAAGCATTATAAGTTTGTCCTATTGATCCATTTCTCAAACTCCACTATCAAAGTTTCATTTGAAGGCATTGGAAAATGTGAAAGATAACAATATTAATTGACCATGTAATAAATCCAAGTTGGTTGTGCAAAAATTTGATCCAACTCTAAAGTTTCTCAAGGCCTCTAAATAGACAAAAAAAAATTTTGAAAAAAAAAGAGAGAGGATATACACAGGTTTATAATCACAAAATTAGAATAGAACCATTGAAGTTAAGATGTTTCTAAATTATCAAGAATCATAAACATAGGCGGAGGGAGGTAGGGGCCAGGGTGGGCACGTGCCCCTCCTCAATTTTTTTTTTTTTATTAGTTAGATATATGTATTATATATTTATACATATATACTATGTGTGCCCCTCATTCATATTAGGCCCACATTATTTACCCAAAATAATTAAAAAATTAAGTTCATTTAAAACAAAAAAATTGAACTCATTATTATCTATCCAAACTTATTAAAAAATCAAATATTTGACCTATCACAATCCGCCCAAACCTATTAAAAAAATAAAAATTTTAGCCCAACATTAAAAACAAAATTTTTGGCCCAACATTAAAAACAAAACTTTTGACCCACTTGACTAAAACCTATCTTATTTTTCCTTTTTCTTTTTTTTTCTTTCTGTATCACTCACTCCTAGCTATCCACTGCCCAGCCACAAGAAAAAAGAAGAAACAGAGAAAAGTTCAACATACGAGAAGCTCAGTTTCTTGAGTTTTTTTGTCCTTCTTTGCACCAACTTATAAAATTATTTTATACATTATATTTATCCCCTAAATTTTTAAAAATTTTAATAATGGTTCTAGTTTTTTTTTAAAAANAAATTTTAATAATGGTTCTAGTTTTTTTTTTTAAAAATAAATTAGTGGACCACTAACTCTCTAAAATAAATATGTTAGTTTTGGATTGAGTCAATATTTTATTTGTATATTGACAAAAATACAATATTTCTCTTTATCTAACACAATGTTCGTTATTTTTTAAGAATAATTTTTAGTTTTCATTTACCATTTTTTTTTTAGTAATAGTAGTCTATAACCTAATAAAATACGAAAATTAATTTACATTTAATTCATATACAAAATTTTAGAGATTTTAAAAAATTTTATATTTTATTGAAATATATAATTAGGTTAAAATGTACTAAAACAATTATTTTGTGTCTTTTTGTTAAGATTTTGTTTCGGCTAAATAAAATTGAATTTACTATTTCACAATAATTTAGTGTTAATTTTTAATTTTTTTTTTATTCTTGAACTGAATTTTTTTGTATTAATTTCGGTTTAATATTTTTTTATACTAGTTATTTTTTGCCTTTATCATAGATATTCATGACTCCGCCCTTGGAAATATAAAATTTTTTTTTTTTGGA